TTTCCTCCCTCACTTCAAAAGGATAAGGCCACTTTGGAGCGTATCCAACGACGAGCCACGAAATCAGTTCGAGGACTTAAATTCAAACCTTATGAAGAGCGCCTCCAATCATTTAATCCTTACCCATTAGAGCTTAGGCGTCCTAATGGTGACCTTCTAATGGATTACAGTATCCTTAACACTTCCGGACACCCCCTTAAACACCTACTTCAGCTTAGTCCGAATACAAACCTAAGGGGTAACACCCAGGAAATGGAGATACAACATAGAGGAACGGACTGTAGACACAACTTCTACTCCTTGAAAGTTGTCAAATGCTGTAATTCGCTGCCGACAAAACTAGTTGAAGCGACTTTCCAGGAGTTTTTCATGAGGAAACTTGACCTATGCTTAAGGACTTAGGATAACATCTTATTATGATTTACCAATTTCTTTTTTCCCTCCATTATCGATAACATACCTAGGTTCCTGCCTGGAGGTACTGGGCATCCCCTTCTACTAGACACGATAGTATGTTAAGCGAAAGCTTCTTCTATTCCGTCCACAACCATTTGAACCATTTGTTACTCCAGGATCATTATCACCATTAAAAACTGGCTTGTTTTCAGTTTCAGTTTCAGTTTGGGAAGGACAGGAGGCTCGATGGCCTATGTTAGTCCTGGCAATGGTGGTCTCTCAGTTGATCCAACCTTCTTTTGAAAGAGTCGACGGATGGAGCCTCAACCACGTGCTGAGGTAGTGAATTCCACTCGTTGATGATTCGATGGGAAAGTCGATAGTCAGCTGACAAGTAATTTGTTCTCGGCTTATGAACTTTTTTGGAGTGTCCTCGTAAATTGTCTGTTTTGGAAGACAAGAAAAATGAGGGCATGTTAGGTGCAAATTTATCACTAAGCAATTTGTAGACTATAATCAAGTCGCCTCTAGTTCTGCGATTTGACAACGGGAAAAGGTTCAGCTTGGCTAGTCGAGATTCATACGGAAGCTTCGCTATTGCGGGAACCAGCTTAGTCGCCATTCTCTGAACCTTTTCCAGAAGCTCTCTGTCTTTTTTTAAGCAGGGGCTAGCCGCTTGTATGCAGTACTCAAGTTTAGGACGAACGAACACTGTATACAAAGTCAAAAACGTCTTAGTGTCGACATGACTAAAAGCCCTACGTATTGACCATAACGTTCTAAAACTTTTGGCGGCTATTGCACGGCAGCGTGCAGTAGTTTTTAAGTCTTGACTAACGATAACTCCTAAGTCATTATATGTCTGGACGACAGGTAGCTCAGTGTTATTCATCGTGTATGTATCTGTGCCTTGATGACCGATATGCATCACAACACACTTGGAAGTATTTATCGGCAACTGCCATGTTTGAGACCATTCAGATAACTTCTTCAGGTCATTTTGAAGTTCTAAGCTATCACTCTTACATCGTATCGTTCTCCATATCTTGACATCGTCAGCATATAGCAAGACCGATGATGATAGGAGACAAGGAAGATCATTTACATACAAGAGGAATAACACTGGCCCCAAAACTGTACCCTGGGGCACTCCACTAAGCACAGTTTCCCAGCTAGATAACTTTGAGTTCACCCTTACTCTTTGTTGACGCCCAACTAAGAAGTCTTTTATCCACATCAATAAATTACCTCCAATCCCGACATGTCTTAACTTGTATAACAGCCGGTTGTGCGGAACTTTATCAAAAGCTTTACTGAAATCAATGAAGGCGACGTCTACAGGTAGCTTTTGGTCCTTAAGAGCACACCAGCTTTCACGAGCCACTAATAAGTTAGTGAGACAAGAATAACCTATTCTGAAGCCATGCTGCTTCTCCGAGAGGATACGGTTTTTATCGAGATACTTAAACAGCTCCTTCCGAATAATCTTTTCTAATATTTTAACAACCACACTAGTTAGGCTAACGGGGCGGTAGTTCTCAGGTTTGTGTTTCGTGCCTGTTTTGAAGACAGGACTTACTATGGCGTTTTTCCAATCTTTCGGTAAGCGACCCTGCGTAACGGATAGGTTAAAGCATGTACTTAAAGGGTTCGCAACGAAGTTAGATAATTCCTTCAGTAGCCTAGGATGTAATTCATCGGGCCCCGTGGATTTACCTACGTCAAGCTTATTTAGCAGACCAAAGACATCGAGTTCTTTAATGGTCACGCTATCCAGTGTATGTATGGGGGGATCTGTATACGCTGACGAGAAGGGCGCTTCTATGGTATACACGTTGCTAAAGTAGTTCGAGAACGCTTGAGCCTTACCAAAGTCGTCCTCCACTAATGATGAAGCAGTACTGTCTCCCCATAGAGCAGGAATATTTCCTTTTCTCCTTGTCCTTTGGTTTATATAGGAATACAAGCGTTTAGGACATTCTATGGATTCCTTAACAAGTTTTTCTTCGTACAATTTTCTAGACTTACGGAGGGTCGAGGCACAAGTGTTCCGAGCCTTTCGATACTGAGATTTTGACTCATCAGTCCCCAGTAACCTAAATCTATCCCACGTCTTCCTTTTCTTACGGAGAAGGATACGGACCTCCCTACTGAACCATGGTGGTGAGTTTTTCGGCCCCTTTGGTATAGTCCAAGGGATGTGAGGTGTGGTAACTTTTAAGTATGATTTTCGAAATGTGTTCCAGGCCGTTTCAATGGAGGACTCTGGGTCTATTGTCCAATCTATTAACGATGCTGAGTGCATGATGTCTGGTATGTTTGCTTTCCAGACGTTGGGTCTGGACTGGACTGACGCGTCCTCATGACTGGCAGTTATATGGAAGTCGAAAGTTAAAACTGCGTGGTCACTTTTACCTAAGGGTGGCATATGGTGGAGGTTCGCAACATCATCCTCATAGTGAGTCAGTATAAGATCTAATAAGGATGATTCAGTGTCCGGGTCGTACCTAGTCGCTTCTTTCACATGTTGCACTAGGGCACATGTGATAACCGCATCAACTAGTTCCTGCTCAAAGGAATTTTCTGACGATTCAGTTCGCAGATTTTCCCAGTCTACCATTGGTGCATTAAAGTCCCCTAGGATTAGACATCGACCACTTTGGGACCAAGTATTGAGACTGCTTAACAGGATCTCATTTGCCTCACAGCTTGGACTGCGATAGACCAAACCAATCAGCAGCTCTTGTCCCTTGCATTTTAGGCGAAGACTAACTAATTCGCATGTCCCACTCTCATGGGATACACTATCGATAATGGTAAATGGGATAGCATTCCTAATGAATAGAGCTACTCCCCCTCCTTTGCGCTTTTGTGTTCTGTCGGCCCTTACTAACGTAAAGCCCTCGAAATCAATTTCTATACTATCTATAGCCTGTGTCAGCCAGGTTTCTGTTACTGCGATTATATCTGGCTTTATAGAGTCAATCTGTACACCTAGTTCCGATCGCTTATTAAGTAAGCTTCGTGCATTGGTGTAACAGATCCGAAGCCTGTTTAGGTGCCTTCGTGCTTCACCCAGACTGGCTTCGGCATCAATCTCTGTCGAAGTCTTACAACCCGAAAATTTACAATTTTCAGGTCCTTTTCGCCAGCGTCTAACCTATGTTGTAGTTCTTTCTCGGCTTCCCGTCTTTTAACACGGTCTGCCAACGGTAGGTCCTTTCGGATAAAGACTCCCGAACCCTTTAATTTGTGTCCATTTTGTAAAATTAGGTCACGTTCGTTTGAAGAGCCGAATACTACTTTAAGCAGTCTGGAATGATTTGGTTTCGAGTCCGTTAGACTCCCTAGTCTATACACCTTTAGCAAGGTGACCCCAGTCATATTTTGAGGCATGAGTTGATTAAGCAGCTGCCTAATCAGTACAATGTCATGCTCAAAACGAGCTTTAGGTTCAGAGCTATCGCTCTCCTTAATTCTATGAAAAATAGCTGATCTGTCGCTATGATCAGCTTTCGATATTTCAACCACTTTTACGGGGGCAGGTTTCCCTTTTATGTCAATACTTTTCTTCCCTACAACCTTTACCCATTCGTTAACGCTGCTGGTAGAAGCAGTAGCAGTTGCGTCAAAACTAGTGTTGGGTTTTGGGGGGTTTTCGACGACCTGAGGGGTCGTGTTATGTTTACCATTCGAAACCGATCGAGCCTTGCGATTGCGGCTCCTAGGTGTTTCCTGTTGGATCCCATCTGGGAGACGGGGAACAGAAGACCCTGCTTTTCTTGAGCTTTTTTTTAAGGCAGACCCCTTTGGATACTGCTTTTCCTTCTTCGACGGGCGTGATTCATCTATCACCGGACTCACCTTAGTTTCCTTCAGATTGATTTGCGTGTCAACAGATCGAGTGCTGTTTGACGCGTTCCGACTATGCTTGTTGAAACACTTCTTGGCAGCATCAACCAGTGAGATAGCCTCGGTTAACAAGCTGTTTGCATCCGAGCAGCACTGTTGACAAAGCCACACACACCCCTTCTTACTGAACCGTTTGAAAGCAGCAGGCGTTAAGTTCGTGCAAACTTCGTGGTACCAGCCTTTGCACTCGTCGCACTGCATGCCGCTTTCAACAGGATAACGACAACCCGGACGTTGGCAACTGCTTTTTTTACACTGTCCGGTCATTTAGGAGGGGTTTTTTCAATATGCGATGATACTCAGAAACAAAATTTATCAATGACCAAAAAAGTGAAGAGCTGTAGATTGCTAGGACCAAAAGTACTAACAGATACAGTTGAAAAAGTGGTACTAAAGAGTACCAACGACAAAACAGTAAAAACGATACTTTAGTCGAATACTTTAACTGAAATAAATTCAATTAAAGTGAAAAACAGTAGTCTTGATACGTAATAAACGATCAAAACAATAAAATTTACTCAGCGAGGAAAAATACCACTGTCCTTTTTAAGAAAAAGCCTAATAGAACTCATACATTTCCACTGTCAATGCTACTCTTCTATCACCCAGACACAGACCCCAAGAAACCATTAGTTTATGAACTTTTTCCAAACAGGGATTGAGGTTTGAAGTTTATGATCGAGCGCGTTCGTATAGTTGGTTCGTTACTTTCAAATTGATGGCGATTAGGAGGAGAGCGGATGTCTTGGATCCAGACTTTACTGTTATAAGACGACAAATATCTAAACTAATGCAACATAGCATTCACGATTGTAAAAGCTTTCTGTTGATGCTAAAATCATTGTTTCCGAGTTCAATAAAGTTAGAAGTAAACGTCTAATAATGTATCACACTTAGATAATTGAGTATGAACTTATGCAGGAGTATGGAGACGCTACTTTGGCAGCTGAAATTCTGTGTCGTCTGTAATCATGTTCTATATCATATTAATCATGTAGGTATGAAACTCAAAGGCATCTTGATATGACACAGATCGAACTTCTTAGCAAAATAGTTAAGGATCCTACTGATAAAGTGTGTTGTGGTAAGTTTGTTTGCATATTTAACTCCTTTACCAGATATATTCTCGCACACCAACCCATCGCTACAGAAGGATTTGACATTATCTTACTTCAACCAGATGTCCGATGAGCTGGGAAGAGCGGAAAGCATTATTTTTCTACTGAATCTTAAAGACGTAGTCTTTTACCCTCAGGTTCTACCCGTACTTTTGGCACTGGTTTATCAAAGCCTCATAGACGGTGAGCTCTCTATGCATAAGAGTAACCGAATCTCAACCAGCAGTGGTATAATGTGCCATTCATCACCCGCAGATAACTATGGATCGTTAATAAAGTAACTGGTTCAATGTATAGCTTAGGTTTTAGGAATGAGAATGTTGACGAGGGTGAAGAGGGAGAGGTAATGGGATGTGATGACGAGGACGAGTTTGCGGATGAGCTTGACAATCCAACTCCCGAGATCGGAGATAACTCTTGGACTGATATATCTAGTTCAATCCTCAATGTTTATCGTTTCAAGATAACTTATGAATTACTTCCACTAGCGTACAAGGTAATCTCTATTAAGGAAATATTTGCTTTCTAGGCTAGTTCTTCCTCGAAAATGGATAAAAACGTCGTGTACAAGATTTCGGTAACTTCAATCAATTTTCTGGTTACATACATAACACATGTCCCAGCGAACCCATCTATCGAAGGATTAGAAAAAAACGAGCTATTAGCCAAGAAGGATCCAAAAAATTACATGACAGACTGTTTAAAAATGATAGGGCATTTATTACAATGGCCTATTGCTACGTTCGACTTTACATCTAGTAAAACTGCATCCTATCTTGTTCAGCAGACAAGAAATTTGTTTCGGGAGGCCAAATCTTCATTTGATAGTGTGTCAACAAAAAAAGACTCGCGATCTGGTCGTAAACTGTCTTCGTTCTCTTTAAGTCATAAGTCTCATGCCATAGTTTTTCAGGCTCTGTGTATGTTTTGGTACACATTTGTTGATTTAAGTGCAGCTTATTTGCACAAAGTTCACAACAGGATATTTGAAGGTAGTGTAGAAAATAGCACTACACCTAGAGTTTTATACTTGCCTATCAACCTAGATATTCTATTCAACTCAACTTCTCATAAAAATGTTTCTTTTGAAAATGAAGAGATGACTCTCTTAAAGCACATACATGAAGTCTGGAGTCTTCGTGAATATACTTCTGCCTCATACTCATTTGGCAGCAAGGAAATAGATTCGTTGGATAATGTCCATCCTCACTCAAATAATTCATCCGAATTCAACCAAGAAACACTGTTTGAGCAAATTATTCGTTTCCACTTTGCAATTAGTGGCCTGAATAATAATTCGCAGGAAATAATATGGGCTTGTAATTTTGTGAAAAAACTCAGTGACCAGTTGAAGTCAGTTTCTCTTACATCCGCTAACTATAACTTATATAATAATGCAGAACTTAAGCTTATATCCTGGGTTCTTCAGATGCTTTTGTTATCTCATGACCATGATAAATTTAAGGTCGTGGTGAAGTCAGAAGCATGTAATGGGTTGTGGGATCAATTCCTTCAAGATTTCAAATCGCTATCATTACTTTTTAACCAGAGTAAAAATGAGAAGATTTGCATCCAAAACATTTGTCCTCTCGTACCATTCACTCGTCAGTGTATAGTTTTTATCGTGTCAAAAACATTAGCAAATTACCTGTGTTCTATTTCTCGACGAACGACAAACCCGACTCTTGCTGTCGATTCCGCTTGCTTGGCATGTATACTTTGTCAAGTCGATGGAAAGTTTGGTGATATTTCTCATCCGGCCGCTCAGTGGCCATCTCTGTCCCCATACCTCTCGGAAGTAATACAAACTCATTGGGTTGATATACGAGATCGTTTTTTAAAGTGGATCATATCTCCCCATACATTCATTTTCGACGTTGACCTGTTGAACACTATTTTCCGATTGGAATCCAACGCTGGAACAGGTATTGATTGGTAAGTTGGTTATTCGTTCTCCATATTTTAGGTATCACAATAACTTTGCAAGATATTTCGTTATTTTTTTTGGCACCATGACCATTAAATTTCCCGGTTATTACGAATTTATGTAATCAATTTGCTGTCATTCATATGATGTCTTTTTTCTTCATACGTATTGGGTAATGAATTTTTTCCCTTTTATTCAAACTCAATCGCTCGGCTCTCATCGAAGTCTGTCAGGTTTTTGAGTCCTGAAAAACCTTATTGTTCCGTATGTTCTTCAACCATAGGAATGCTTTGCCAATCTTCACCTTTACGTCTGCATCAGATCCTCTACGTTCATCCATGATGCTGTCTGGGTACGTGAAAGTTCCCACCTCTTCCAGAGTTTCTCCATCAAGTGTGGTTGATTGAGTGTTCTCCTTGTTGTATTTGAGGATTTTGTTTTTTTCCTTGTGTGTTGAAGCGTACTGATGCAGAGACAGCTGCTACACTAGCTGTCTTCATCTGCGTTAGTTGGTGTGTATGTGATAGAAGGTTCAGGTGATGATCTATGAAGTCGAAATCGTCTAGTTGCATTCAACCTGTCTATTGTATTCTGTGCTTCCTCTCAGGTGTGGAGGTCATCATAATCCAGTCAACCACCAGAAGAAAGAGAAAGGGTGGGAGTAAACAGTTATATCTGACACTGGTCCTCAATTGGAATGCGTTTGTCAGCTATCCTCCTTGCACGACTTTGCAGTGTAATCCGTCATATGAATTCCGTATGATGGTGACGATCTCCTTAGGTACTCCATAATGTCGGGGAAGTTTCCATTATTATCTATTCACACCGTCAACTGCCTTCTCATAGTCAAGGAAGTTGATGTATAGTGACGATTTCCGTTCAATTGTTTGTTCAACGATGAACTGTAGTGTTCCGACTTAAGTCAGTGCACGACCGAACCTCACGGAATACGGCCTGGCAATCTCAAATATGGGCGTCTACTGAATCTTCTACGCAGTTCAGCATCACTGTTGAAAACTTTTCCTGGTACTGACAATAGTGTGATGCCTCTGTAGTTCTCACATTTGCTCAGATCTTCCTTTGGAATCTTGATGTGTTATTCTTCTCAGTCTTACGTCTTTTGCTCTTCCCAAGTGTTTCTGGATAGAACGTGGAGCATGTTTTCAGTTACTCCTCTCTGTGATTTCAGTGCTTTAGTTATTATGTTGTCAGGTCTTGCCTCCCCATTCTGATAGTCACGCTCATTTCTTCTATCGTTGGTAGGGTAGAAGTTATGAGAAGATCTTAAGTTGCTGCTTCGATGTCCGATGACCTTCTGAATTTTTTAGTTGTACAAATATCTATCTGGTCCTCTGTTGTGTGGTCCGGTGAGACCCATGTAGCTTTGTGTATGCATTTGTTTGGGAAAATTGTGCCACCTATAACCATTTTGTCGAATGCATTTAAATTTGCAAAACTTTCACCATTCTCGTTCCTTGCAGTCCATATCGTCCCATGATGTCTTCATACCCTGTGTTATCCATTCTGGATTTGGCGTTTAGATCTTCCATCAGGATGGTGAGTTTCTTTCCTAAACACTTCTCTATAATCGATTGTAGCTTCTTGTGGAACTGATCTTTATCATCATTTCTGTCATTGGTGGGCGCACAGCACTTGATAATATTCATTGTAATTCCCTCGTTTGTTTTGAATGATGCTTTGATAATTCTGGATCCATGAGATCTCCATTCTATAAGTATTTTCCACTCTTTTTTGAACAACATCAGAGCAACTTGTGTGTGCGAAGCATTTTCTTTATGACCAGTGTACAGCATCATCCCCTTCGAATATAACCTTTTCTGTCCATCTCGGGTCCACTGGTTTTGCTGATTTCAAGCACTGTCAAGTTGTATCTCCTCATTTCCGTTGCTATTTGACTGGTCCCCACAGTCTCCCACATTGTCCAGACGTCTTATGTACCTCCAAAAATTGTTGCTGTGGTTGTTAAAAGGGACATCGGCCTCGTGATTTCCTAAGAATCTCAAATTTCACCATGAGGCGTCATAATTTTTCTGAATGAAGATCCTTCAACTCGGTGGGCAAAGTTTAAACGTTTTAATTTGTTTATTCTGGTCAGCGTATTTTTAGCAAGGTTGTTTTCTATAGGATGGGAGAGCTGACCCCATGCTCAATTCTCCTCCTTTATGTGGTCTTGGTACCGAGAATCATTCCAGAAGGGCTACAGGCGGAGTTACCTTAATGCATACCAAGCAGCAACACACCTAAAACCCGTCTTATCCTGAATAAGTTCAGAGCGGCAAACTATTTAATCGTACTTGGAAATTCCGCTTAGGAGTATAGGATTTTCCCTAAGCCGCTTACATTGTTTAATCAAAATCTTGAAGTAATTACCTTCCACCGCTAAAAGGTTATATGTGCAAAACAGGCATTCTAGTTGCGTTAACGTTTTGAGATGTTACTCCAGTTAATGAATATGGCGTGACACAGAGTTGGATCGACAAACAATGTCATATATGTGTCCTGCTGCTTAATATGCGTATCACCGATTTTGCGGAAACTAATCGGTAATCAACTTATTACATCATTCATTGATAAAGATAGGCCACCGTACCCAAATCTCAAAAAATAACCCATCAGGTTACATTGCCTACCGTTTCTTCAGGTAAGGTCCGCTCAGATACGTGCTAGCACGGACGTAATCGCGGTTCAGATTTGTGCTTGAGAAAAACCAGCAGTATTTTATCGCTCTTCTACACTAACTGGTAGCAATATGGTTTACCTGTGTTCATCATTTAGTCAGTGTCGAGGGTCGGAAGATCGGATTTTTTCTATATTTCGGGTTGAGATTAGCTAGGAATAAACAATCATCTAATCATAGTCGTAGCAGACAATAATTATTATTTGGGACAGTCCCAAAAGTCCTTCCGAACTGACGTATTTTATCTTGAACGATAAAGTTCATTGGATCTACTATGTCTGTACTTCTAGCTTTTCTAAGAAAGCCAGAAGGCATTCTGAAAACCATCGTTCACTTTTGGAATGCCATAATTATAAAGAAGTAAAGAGATGTATCCTATCCTTTGGTGGTTTTACCGTCCTATTTAATCGTACAGCTCAAAAGCAAATATCTACTAATGTCTAGTTTATGGGTCCGTATTTTGTTTCTGAACTTAATGCTATACATACCGTAGTAAGGCCACGAAAGTTTACAGTCAAGTTCATGAGTGCACTTGGAGTGGATCTCTCTGACTTTACATTTCGGCTAGGTAACGCCAAGTGAATGACCACACTTGTATCCTTCATGCAAGTTTCGTGGATAGCAACTGTTAGTAACATGCAACTCTAGAGTGTTGTTTGATGAATTTTTTTCAATCTCATATATGATTCATATGATAATCGACCCAATATATAGTTTGAATCTTGGAAACCAGGTTTAATATTTTGTGAACTCGTATAGTTAACACCACTAGCGCGTTTATCGAGTTAAAGAAAAGTGATTGATAGTGGGAATAAAAGAAGTACTAGGAGGTGAGGTAGGGATATAATTATAGACAAAGTGTGTAGATAGTCGTCACTTTCCAGGTACATAAACCACGAAGGCTTGCTTCTTGAGGGTCCTGTAAAAGAGATCGGGCTTGGCGTAATCTTTTCCATCCGCAGACGTGACTGAATAGCGCAGATGATTGGTGTTTCTATATAGTTGGTTTGGTATGTGTTCGTTCTTGACTTTTGAGACCTCACCACTAGTACTGAAAATCCCAGGAGATGGAGTTATTCTTATTTTATGTCTTCTCTTTCATAACCCCTTCTGCTCTCAGACCTTGAGTTTACTGCGTGGTACTATAAAAGTTAAAAAACAATTGTCTTGATCATTACAAATATATTAAGTCTTCGTAGTAAGCGAAACTTAACCACTACAGTGTTTAACTTTAGCTACTACAGCTCGTTGAGCTTAGTGGTGGAAATATGTAAGTATGTGTCGCAGTTACTTCTCTTAAGCAAATTAGAATCTGTATTAACTGATATTTGTTTTTTGTAACTACTGCTCATCATTCAATGTCGAGTCATAAATGTTCTTCATCCAGAAGACAATGCATTGATGAACTATTATGTTGCATTTTTGCATTAGATTCAATGAATTTTGCGTTACATAAATGCAGTTCACCTCGTTTTTATTCAAAAACTAACGATTACTTAATAGTCAAGATATTGATATTCAACTATTGGGTTGTTTCTTTGGGGGACCAAGCATCATTATTAACTCCCCCCTTTTAATACTAGTTATATTTGTGTAACAAGTATACGTTTATGTACTCGGTGCTAGGGGACAGTTTGCTAGGACTGATGATACTGCCTAACCACCCCGACTGAAATGAGTCGAACAGTGTTCGAGCCTTTTTCCAGGAGTTAAAAGTTGACTGTCTGCTCTTAAATACTGAGCTGTGTAAATATACTTCCTTAAGAAAACCTGTTACTAAAACTAATCTTTTAGTACAACTACGATTCAGTTCACTCGTACTGTGTATCAGGGTAACTTTTATAGAATCTAGTCTTCAACTTCATATTTGATCCGAAGAGCTGTATTAATAATATTTACTACTTTTCTGTTTAGGTCAAATCGTGATACCTTTTTATCGCGTTGCACAAACCTCGTTCAGTCCAAACCACCTGATGCAGTTGATTCAGTTCTTGAGTTCATTCATTTGGAATCTTCGAATATTTCGATTTGCTTAGCATCACTTCAATTATAAAAGAACATTTTGTAACCCTGTATCATAAAAAAATCATTTTAATATTATCTTGATTCGTAAATGTACTTTGGCTAAATGGGTTTGTTTACTTTCAGCTTGTAGGCACTTTAGTAATAATTTTACAGTAAATATATACTTTACTATTTGTCGCAACCTAATTCATGAAATACTAGGTGATTATAACGATTAATTTATTTGCGGTTATACAAAATGACTATGGCTACTGGAAAAAGGTCAGTCGTCAAATATTATGGAACTGTGCTAGCTTGATATAATTACAGTAAAAAGCCGTTACTCAGTTGCCGCTAAATCTTTTCATCAAGAAGTTTTGTTTCTCGAACACTCATTTGCCAAGTCTGGGAGTGATATACTGTTGTGTGACGTTTTTGTGGCTTCATTTCTTAACCACAATATTTCTCGATCTCTCACCTGCTTTTTATATTTATCTATCTATACGTATGTGCCAGTTTCATCTACCTCCATCATTTTTGTCCCTTCAAATCAGATTTCGCTGACAAAAGTTAGTTGTTCAAGAACGATTACGAAACGAAGCCTGATATCCTCGAATTGTGAGGTAGCTTTCTCTGGATAACATGCATTTACTGTTAGACTTTTTTTAAGGACAATATCGACTTCTCAGTCTCTCGCTGTGTAAAGGTCATATTTACAGGCTTTCGGCCTTGAAGTTACCGGATAAGAAAGTAGTGATATTTCTTGAATGTCATTAGGTTACTGTGATTTAAACCCCTGTTTGAATTTCTTTTAGCTATTTTATGGGTGGTTTCAGACATATTCTACGACACGGTATTCATCTCATTAAGTAAATTACGTCGAACGTTTTGTCGCATTATTGATCAAGTTAGTTTATGACTACCAGTGATAGATTGGTATTCAGACTGGTGATCAGTTCACACGGAAGCTATGAGTCTATGTTGCTTTCAAATACACATAGTTCCTCTTTTTTATAGCCACTTTAACGCACCATGCGAACCACTAGATAGTCGGTAGTAGTCACAAGCTATTCAAACTGCTCTCCTGGTATTGTATTTGGCTCAAAATAAATAATACGGAAGTAGCTTGTATCATCACAATTTGGCCTCTAAATAATGTTATGCGTTCGCGAAGTAAGATTAGTTCGGTATAGTGGTCTTGAGTGCTGCCACGGAATCTCGCGGTCTACGGAGTCAAATACTGCTTTTAAGTCAAGAGAGACCACCATTACCGGACGCCGATAAGCATGCCTGTGTCCTAGAACCTGGTGAGTGGTGTGTGGTCGATGCATACACGATCGGGTCTGAAGCCAGCTTGGTTCTCTCGTGTTTGCAGTTCACGAGTCTTTGTTAGGCGCTCGATAAGTATTGAGGCTAGCATTCTAGATGCTATGTTAGTCAGACTAATCCCACCATGGTTTTCACAAGATGATTTTGACCCCTTTTATATATTGGGACGATCAGTGATTGTGGCCAGTCAGATGGAAGTACGTCCAACTCCCAGATTTTAGCTAAAACATTAGTCAACCGGGTAAGTAATAGTGAGGTTAGACGTATGACATTAGGGAATGATGGCAAATCAGCTGATGAGGTTGTGAATCTTCATTGACTCAGATGGTTTGGTCACGTGTTACATATACCTGGACACCGATTACCACGAGGCGCAATACGTACTAGTGTAGGGGATGGTTGGAAGAAAATTAAGGGCGGCCAAATCGAAACGTGGCATCAGTGCTTGAAGTCACTAACTTCTAGTCTGAGCCATGTTGGTAGATTCAGACTTCTTGGTTGGGGTCCGTGTGACTATCGTAACCAATGGTTGGAGACTCTAGGTGACATGGCTCAAAATCGATCACAATGACGTGGGCGTATACACTCTCTGTCTTCCCCTAAACTGAGATTAAAATCGCTTCATATCTTCCTTTCTACGAACTAATTCTTTCCCGTACTATGTCCTTATATGCGGTCTTTATTTTATATATTACCATCACTGAACTAACTACTATGAATCCGGTGTTCATCTTGTTGTGCTAATGAGGTAGGGCATCTTGGACCAATGCACATATGTGCCTGGTCCTACGTGTAGCTGACTGGCTTATTAGTTTGGTAATTAGTTGTGCTTGGTTGTAATGAAGAATCTTAGAGTTTTCCGTGATTGTCTGAATAATTGATGAAAAATCGTAGTGACAGCAAAGCTGGACTCCACATGCCTTTTCTCAAATTCAAGATGTAAAGAAACGGTCGTTATTATTCATATTATAGAGCCCATTTAACGATAATTCTTAAATTTTCAAACGTATTAAAGAGGCACCCCGACACTAATCAGGGGTTTGAGTAAATGAGTATATCCTTGTTAGGACTAGTCTAATACGTTAATTATTGGTTTTGTATTCAACATTTAAACATGGTTTTTCAGCTAAATATTTGCTTATGATCTCCACATATCAATTCCGGGTCAAAACTTGCCCGAACGTTATCGTTTCTGAAATGTTATTGTCTAAAGAAATAATTCTTGGTTACATTAAAAAGCTTTAAAGGCTTTTCAGAGATCTCAGACTATTGACCTGGTGACGATTCGGATATGAAAATGTCTTTTAAGCGGACTGCTAAGATTTTGTGACTAACGCATTAGAATTCTTATTGCCTTTTTCTGTAGTACAACCTAGCTTCTGTGACTTTTGGTTTTAGTCATGTACTGACTGCTATTTCCAAACTTTCCATGCTCAGAGGTGAAACACGCTTTTGTTTTATTGCAATTATTTAATGTTTTGTAGAAAGCAAACTACGTCTGTCATACACCACTTCCTGTTTATACATATATTCTTTGATAATATTTTCTAATGTTTTGAATTCTTTGAATTGTATTATGAACTAGGAATCCCAGAATTAACGCAATTGAATTAAGAAGTGACACACAAGCACAAATGAATGTATTGTATTTGGAATTCGAAATCAAGCATTCAACAGGTACAAAGGTATTATTAGTTCGTTCAAACACCACATCCGCCACAGCCTAAATAGAAGTATAAGTGTTTGTAATCGGTTGTACGTCTTCTTGTTAAGTTCATCCTGAGTCTGTCCGACATTGTATAAGATAAAAACGGAAGTGCTACTTAACCAACATAAAGTACTATATGTTGTACGTACAACGAAATATAATGTCATCACGGTAGTCTGCACATCGTGCTGCAGTCATTCGACTGCCGCAGTCACAGATAATGGAACTTCTTAATAGTCTCATCTGTTGTAGTCGCTCAACAATCACCCCTTCTCTAAAATCTGCTGTAAAACGATCGAATGAGAGCATCTCGCATTGACCTTGATATTCCTCAAGCGCTTCTGATTGGCTCGTCCATAAATTAGAGTCCTACCGAGAATTATGATAAATCGGTTGATTAGGAACTGTTGTCTCACAAGAATTATGGATTTCATCTAACTCTGAACTGCCGTATGACTCTGCACTGTCTTTTGAAATCGTTGATAAAGATAAATGATCATCATGAATACTCGACTCCGTAGAATCAGAATTACAAGACTTAATATTAGTTGCAGTAAGATTAACATTAGTATTACAAAATACACATGAATTGCGAGCATGAAACTTTCGACATGATAAACATTTACCAAACTTCACCTCACTTTTGTAATTTGCTTTGTAATTCCTCGTTGAAACACCTTTTATATTTACACGAGAATAGGAATCACTGTTAAATGAACGCAAGTTCGATTGACCCTGAGATTGTCGTTCATCAAAACGACTAAGCAAAGTATTAGAAATCATCGACTGGATATCAAGTTCACTGACTGCTTCGTAGTTAATACACGCAGTTCTAGCATCTTGAAAGGAACAGTTTGGCATTTTTAAAAACTCTCCAAACTAGGTATGTTAATTCCTGCAATTAATCGATCTCTCAGTTGCACATGAAGTTGATCACCGAAGTTACACTTGGTAGCTTGTTTCTGTAATTCAAGGATGAATTCCCGAGCCTTTTGGTGATTTTGACGAACCATCATATGAAACTTCGCCCTTTCACAGCATTCAAAACTGGTGCATTTTACATGACTTAACTCTTTAAGAGTTGCATAAGGGAGTGAGATAGGTTTTTCTGGATATGCCAAAGTTTTTAATAAGCTGTACGCTTCTCTCCCTATGAATGTAGGAAATTTGCCACAATTTTATCACCTTTAACATCTTTCTTGGTCATGCTCCAGATTTCGAACTTTTCCAAGTAATCCTCAAAAGCTTCAGGAGTTGAATGAATATCTAACTTTTCCATTACAGGCTCCATCGCGACGCCAGTATAATGTTTTGAATTCTTTGAATTGTATTATGAACTAGGAATCCCAGAATTAATGCAATTGAATTAAGAAGTGACACACAATCACAAACGAATGTATTGTATTTGGAATTCGAAATCAAGCATTCAACAGGTACAAAGGTATTATTAGTTCGTTCAAACCACACATGTCTATTATTAGCTAGACCCCAATCATGTTATTTAGAATTAAATCTTCCGTCTTCTATTCAGTAATAAGGCAGCTGACACAGCATCTCACTGATTAGTTATTCATCCAAGTCACACGAGAGTCCATCATTGTGCAACCCAATAACCAATCTAAAATAACCCAGTATATTTACACGTAGTAAACTATTTGTTTATTTTCTTTCGAAATATGTAGTTATTAGAAAGTGATTCTAGCGAAAATTTATTTTTGGTAGTTTCTTATCAGACTTTCTGCTCTCAATAACAAAACGATTATTTTTCTTCAATTCATTTATGAATGTAATATAATTTATTGACCGCAATTTACACGTTTCGTAAATAAATGTTTTCAATGTAATGATTGTTAAGTTTTGAACGGAAAATAACAAGAGATATCAACTAGTTTGGACCTGAACTATCACAATAGGAATATTCCAATTATTTTCTATCATGAATGTTTACTAAATGATCTCTGCGCGCCTTACTTTGTGTTACTGTTAACGTTTTGTACAAAATTGTGATGTCAATCAGATAAACCAAAAATACGGGAACTGCTTTTAATAGATGGCTTGATACGGTATGGTTTCCATTACTACCA